AGCTCAGTAAATATGGTTATACTTACAAGCTTAAGTGTAATTCTGAGACATTGGAAAAGGTTCCAATGTATGGCAGAGCGAATAAGAAGAATCAAATTAGGCAGAAGGATAAAAGTTTCTCAAATCTAAAAAGATAGGAGAGTACTTTAGTATCATGTTATATGATCATCTTAATGATTAAGATACCTTATCACAATTCATCCTCCAAGTGAATTCTAATAGCTAAGAAGAGGAGTTATGAATTGTTGAAGTGTTTAAATCAAGAAGATGATTCATACCTCGTTCCAAAAACAATTCTTAGAGTTATACTCTACGAATGTAACTTGAGTGACATGTCTTAAAGAAGGTTTAAAACACTTTTCAAATGTAAGAGTAAAAGTTTTCTACTCTTGTATATTTGAAATTGGTAAGTTGTGATGTTTTGGATAAAACAAAGACCAACTAAGGACAATTGTGTGAAGTGTTTGTCTTGATTAGAATCCACACTATCTCTTGAATATCTGACAAGAAATTCTTATATGTCAAGAGGACAGTGGGAGTCTTAAAGGTCTTGAAAGTCTCAAGAACTAATCAAAAATAAAACCTGAAGTTCTTCACTAGCACATGACTTGAGGTTCATAACCTATCGTGTTGACATATTATGTGCCCATTCCAATTAAAGTTGGCTTTGCATATGAGTTCTTAGAGTTCTCAATTGGTTGCACAACAACTTGGAAGCAATGGTAGGCCCTTGAGCTACTAGATGGCAAGAAATTAAGATTGAGTTCAGTCCATATGAGTTTGGATTTGTCATTATCCTTGTCTTGTGACTATGGTTTTGACAATTCACATGGATAAGAACACATACACCATTAAATCTAAGTGTCATAAGTTTTCTCTCTGATTCATGAAAATGATGGTGACGAAACACTTTCACTAAGTAGATTTTAGCTAGATAGCAATTGTGATATTTTCATTCTTAAAGTCGTTAGTGCAGCATGTGTGGTTTACCGGCACACTAACATGGACTTGTGAGAAGTGGCAAAGGTCTAAACAATCAAGACTATGATTACGACATCCATTTTCATAGTTCTTAAAATTGTTAAGACACACCTGTGAGCTATCTAAGATAAGGTGTATGATATTGATAAAGTATTATCAAAGCAATCTAGTATTAGAAATCTGAACTTTGGTAAGAAAGTAAATAAAGTATTGATTTCTAAAAGTCCAGTTGATTTCTGAGTACATGTCAAAGCTAGTGCGAGCATAAGTGTTATGCTAATAATCATCATGTTAGTGGGAGCGTGATAATTATGATAAAGGTTGCAAGTTAGCAATGTTAATTATAGAAAATAAAAGGTTTTAATTGGGAAAGAGTTGTTTTGCTATAATTAAGGGAGAGGAAATTATACTTCATCTCAAATCTAAAAGCTTAGATTGAGGTTTTAATTGTATTTAGTCAAGGATATATATATATATATATATATATATATATATATATATATATATATATGTATATGAATTTCATGTTGTAATGGCTCAACATAAGGAAATTTTGTATATGGGTCCATTATTTGTGTTCTAAAATTCGATTATGATTACGGCATCCCTTTTCATAATCTAAATTATGAGAACTTGGCAAATAGAAATGGAAATGATATAGCAAAATACTGGTGTCTTTATGTGAGACGTCATGAATCGTGTCCCATATGCTTCAGATATAGGATCGATTACATGTGCTATATTCATCCTTTCTAAAATTTTACAAATGCCTGGGGCATTAAGAAGGGAAAAGGTCTAGAATTGGATATGACTAAAAGGATTAAACAATTGTCGAGGACAATCTAAGGTTTACCAAAGATTGGCTGCTCAAGGACTGTTGGAAATATAGTGATAATTCTGAAAGGACCATATTGACAAAATATGTAAGGAGGCAACTCTTGTTCAGAAATGATAGTCAAAATGGAATATGGAAATGTCTCAAAGTTAGAAATTATTCAATCTATGTAAGATTAGGAAACTTAATGCAAGAAGGATGTTTCCAAGGAGTTGATCTCCTTTGGAATGCTATGTAATGGTTGTTGTCAAGTCTTTCTGACTTTGTGAATAATCATTAGAAGAGGATCAATGCATATAAGTTTAGCATCTAACAGATTTCAGTAAATGGCATGAATTTGGAATTCTTGCATTTGCAGTAAGGATTTAGGGCTGTGAAAAGAGGATCATTGGAGTTATGTTCAATTGATCTATTTCACAAAGTAAAGATCATAGACAAACATAGTATGCATACTTGGTGTATGGCATGACTAGTGTTTAGAAAACATTGTGTACATGCTTGGAGCATGGGACAACTAGTGTTTTAATTCAAGAATAAAGCTGATAGATGAAACAGTATACAATGAATAACGTGTAATCATATGGTGATAAATAAAAGGTGTTTTATTTATGTTCACAGGTTTTGATACCATATTAGATTCAATTATTCTTGTGTTTCATTTTGAATGTTTTGACTTCCAGAATAAACTAGGTTATTCTTCCGGAATGTCTAAGTTATTCAAACCATCCATAGTCGGTCATATGTTGGAAGTAGATATGAATTAAGATTGTCATGGGTTGGCTTGTAGAGGTCTAAGATGTTGGACAAAGGGCTACAACACTCATGAGTCCTCATAAGTTCTGCGTATTGGATTCAACCCACGCTCATTGGAATCACTTCATGGATTTTATCACGTGAGCATGAGATGCTAATATCTTATATTCTTCAAACCTAGAGATATGAGTTGTTACTATGAGTTGGTTGTACATTGATTGCACGAAAATGCATTCAGTAACTCGATGTTATAAAACGTGCCTTTATGTATGATTCAACAAGTAGTAGAGCAAACCATATGAGTCAAAGTTTATCCATTCCTTTTACCTTCGGGATAAATGTGATATCTGTGCGTCCCTCGATGATTTGGTGATGACAAATGTAAGTGCTCGGTCAGGCCAGGACTAATTTGATTTGTTCAATTAGTCAGTCGTCATAAATCGAAAATCGGGAAACAACAAATGGACAGAGAGAATGATTATAATCCATTTCTCAGTCCATATGATATCTAGAATGGAGAAATATATGATCCCTTATCTAATGGACAAGTCATTGACGAATGTCAGAGTTCATCGACAAGGTCAGAGTTCGACAGAAGCTTTTGAGAGCTACGATTGCCAGTCGGTTCTTGAAGTCATACGCAATAATAGTTTTAGACTTATCCAAGTGGGAGACTCTTGGATTAATATCTAAGTCCATAACTATAATTGGTGAGACTTGACCCGACCCAGCATGGTCCATTTGGGTTGCATGGCATCATGCATTTGGATAGACTATAATGAGAGAAATAAAACTTAAGGTTTGTTAATATATTATAAGTTCTAATATATTAATAAGGTTATTTAATTAGTATTGATCAAGAATTAATTTGGAATTAATTAAGTGATCAAAAGGAGACTAATTTAATATATGGGTTGATTGTGTAAATCATTAATTCTTATATATGTAGGCTTGTGATCCAAGATTCCTTATGTTGGATTAAGTCCAGGGGGTGACCCATGGATACTCCATGGAGGTTAAAATCCATGGAGCATAAGGAATGGGTAAAGTTATGAGTTACATGGTGTAACCCTATTAGCCACCATATAAAAGAATCTCATGGCTCAAGAAATCGGCCACTATGTGTAAGAATGAAGGGATAGCCGATTTCATGAAGTGTGTATGTCCTCTCAATCTATTCCAAGTGTATTTGGTGTTGTGTGAACCATTTGAGGTGTCACACTTGGCGCACTAGGCACTCAAGCTTCATGAAGATAATCTTCATCAAAGAGGTATGTAATTCTAACTTGATATATTCATTTGAATCAATGTTATTATGCTAGTTAGGATGAATACCTTGGAAAGTTCATATTTGCATGTATAATAGAGAAAACCTAGATCCAAGATCTTTAGGGTTGCATGTACACTTAGGAGTGTTAGAATGCCTAAAACCCAACAGTTCCAATAACTATTCCATTTGTGATAGGCCTTGTTGTTGTTGTTGTTGTTGATGTAACAAAAAAAGCTTTTGCTAAAGTGTTGGAATTTGAGTAGTCAGCACTTTCCCAATAATTTTCGCATCACTGCTTACATTCCTAGAACCACCTTCGCCTTTAAATCCACTCACACTACGAATATTTCTCCTTTCTCCCCCTTTCACCCTTGTGATCACAAGTGGGGCATTTGTTGGCATGAAGTTGGCAAACTTCGCATGTCGCGCAAATTCTTTATGAATTGTGGACTCTAGCATATGAAATTTTTCATTGAAATTTTCAGGAGATAAGATTGAATACTTTGAAGAATCATACTTTCACATAAGATCTTTTAACTCCATCAGCAATTTATCCACTTTTCCAAAGCTAGAAACATCAACCTCAGCCTTTTGATTAACCTTCAAAACTAAAGAATTATACAATTCATTTGCTTTCGTCACAATATCAGAAATTATATCTACCTTATTGTGAAGAGCATAATAATTGTGATCCAAGGTAGCTATCTCCTTCGTCATATCCTCCCTTAATTCTTGAACTTTAAGATTGAAATTTTCTCAAACGGTTTTGACATCTTGAACAAATAGAACATGTCGATCCTTTGCTTTATCTTTCAAATCATGAAAAGCACCAGTGAAAGATTCAGACTGAGCTTTAATCCTAAGGTCATTATTCTTGTCCATTCGATCGTGATTATCCATTAGTCAATGCTCTTGATCTTTTAACATGACATCAACCTCAAGACCGGACACAAAATGTTTACTACCTCCATCTGCTTGTAATTAAAGCAAGGAATTCAGCTTCCTGTTTAGAATTTTAAACTGTTTTCCTGACATCAACATGTGATTAGGAATACTCTCTTCCTCTTAATTGAACTAGAGTTCAGCAAATGAACCGTCAAACCCTCCATCATCAGTTTCATCGTCATGAACAGACTGGGAAGGAAATAAAGAAGTAATAGGTTAATGGATGATTGTATCAAAAGTAGGAGAATGATTGAAAGCAAGAATATGAGATGAATTTGGAACAATAAAAGATGGTAATGAAACAGTAGTATCAATGACAGAAGTTTCGATAGATGAGGATAAAATGAAAGATGGATTAACTTGGGCTTCGTAATGAAATATTCTTTTACCCTTATTAACATTTACATCCGTATCAAATAAGTTTGCATTGATGATTAAAGTTCGAACCTCCACATTAAATGACTCGGTATTCAAAACTTCAGGTGGTATGATATTTTCCTTCTCAAGAATAGAAATGGTTGGTTGTTCACTGTGATTGATGGGTTTGTCCATTGTAGAAGTTTCCAAATTGCCATCAAGATTTCCAGTCTCCTCGTAAGTCGACTTAACTAGGGAATCCCTCACAGGTAACGAATTGCCCAGTGTAGCATTTGTGAGTGGTGTTTCAGGAACCACTTGTTCATCATCTGAATCTTCTTGTAACACCAATTTCCATAGCTTCTTATGTTTATTTTGTTTGTTCGAAATGTGCTTGGCCATGTCTTCAACATGCCTCTTCTTTAATTTTGGAGAAACGAGTGTTAGAACATCACGAAAGCTAACCACCATCCTGTTGAATTCAGGTTTATAATGAAGATCAGATGAATGACTTGATTTGTGAGCCATTTTCTTCAATCGTTTCAGAACACTGGTCTTGGTAGCAACAACCACCTTTTCATGAACAATTGTTTCATCAACCGAAGGCTATCAACCCTTTTTCTTTGAAACTTTAAATCCTTGAACAGCTTTCTTAGGAGACTTAGAGACTTTTTCAACTTTTTCAGGACTAGCATGTAAAGGACTAGCCTAAACCTTCTTATTGGATGCTCTACGTGGTTTCGAGGATTCATCAATAAATTTCTCCAACAACTTTCCAGTCTCAACAGAAGGATTGACTGTTGTCAAATATTCGACTGAAATTGAACTTGTTGGATCAACTTTTAGAAGTATGGCATCAGGAATACGATCCATAGTTGGAAAAACATCAATATCATCCACCATAGTCTTTGGATAATGTTATGTAGCAAATTCAACAAGTTCATCTTCTTCGGAAACCTCAATTCCTTCTTTTTCATAAACAAACTGTAGGATCAAGCTCCAGTGTCGAGCACACGAAACCCCATCAATCGCATTCGTGTTTTCAATACTTTTGAGAAACTCATTCTAGAGTTGAATGGCATAATCTACTTTTAAATCATAGTAAGCTCCAGCCACTATAACATACACCTTTAATCGACCTTTGTCCAACCCAACTATTCTTCCAGTTAAACAACGAAGATAAATGCTAAATAAAGAACTCCACACATATGGTAAACTGGACTTCTTCAAATCACTGATTTTGGTAAGAATAAGTTAAGGTCCCATCTCATGAAACATGTGAACAATCTGAGCATTCGTACCCTTGTAAAAAGGTTCAGCGTCGGGGGAATACAAGATTTTAGCAAAGAGTTTCTTGGATAACCTGAATTTCTTGTCATTCATCAATTGAAAAGTAACAATCTTCATTGTCTTGCTGTAAGTAGCAGTAGAACCAACAAGTGACAACCAAGTAAGAGGAACTGCAAACGAACTGAACATTGCAATAGAAAACACTGAATGTTGAAGTGAAAAGATAAGCATCTATAACCTCGTTGGATAATCTTGAACATCAGCAAGAACTTGGTAATTGTTTCTCTAAATTTTCATGATCGGTTATGATGTAACATCATCAGTGGTTTGAGTTTGTGTAGCAGCCATGGTTAGGGTTTGAAGACTCGATAAAGAATACAAAGAGTTGTTTGAAATTGAGGATTTTTAGTATGCATAAAATTCGAATGAACCTCAAAACCCCTTTTTATATGTAACTGGAATTTGAGTTTGAAGCGGTTTCTAGGATTAAATAAGGTTGACGTATTTCCTTGAAAATCATACATGTCGCTAGTAAAATAGCCATGCCTAAAAAAGTGGTGTGCACTTTTTCCTTGAAAATCGGACTGGAACCCAAAACGTCACATCAGTCAAACGTTTCACTTGCCCCCATAGAATAAGAACCGTCAGTAACCTTCAGTATGGAGGTTGGGATGTTTCACTTTTGGGTTGACAAGCAAAGTCATATGCCAGACTTTTGAAATCATCATCCTGAGTTAGTATTACTCAGAACCTCAAGGATTTCATGAGTGCATAAGTGTTCCAATAAAAAGATAAGATTCAAGATAAAAAAAAATGGATACTGTGATGTGAAAGATAACTTCATTATTCATCAAGAGAGATGACTAACAGCTTTTGTGGTTTCCCGTGAATTACAATCGAATACTTATAAAGAAGTATCGAAGGGCCTATTTTCTCAAGATTCGTGAGTAGCTAACAAATTTTGTTACAAAGTACATATAAACATAAGAGTAACAAATTGTAAACAAAATTACCCATATGACCAATGTAGTCAATGTCAAGCAAGCATTGGCAAATTTATTAAGTAACTAAGATTGAGAAGGATACTCACACTAAAATCATATTCTCCAAAACAAAATTATACTTGGACTTTATTTGGTAACAAATGTCGTGGGTTTCGAACATTTGATCAAGATCACAAAAAAGAAAAGAATATTATTTTGAGTATCGAAAACCGGTACATAAACAAATGTTTCGTTAAAATCTGGAATAAAATTCTCCGTCACTTCGTTTCACTTTACAAAGTTGCAAGGCTGATAAATTGTTTTTTGATAATTAAGGGAGAGAATATTATAATTTGTTTCAAAATCTAAAAGCTTGGATCGATAAATTTTAATATAATTTAGTCAAAGGACATATATGGTTGTTATGCTGAAAAGATTCAACATAAAGGAATTCTATATATGGAAATACTATAGCAAGAAACTGGTAAAGTATCACGTTTTTCGTTATGAATCGTGTCCCATACGCTTTGGGTATAGGATCAATTGCATATGCTATAATATTTGAACGTTCTAAATTTTCCAAATTCCTAGGGCGTTAAGAGGGAAAAAGGACTGGAACCAAAATTGACTAAAATAATTAAACAACTGTCAAGGATGATCTAAGGTACACCTAGAATTGGTCACTTTTGGATAGTTGGAAGTATAGTTATGGATGGACCATATTGATATTATCATGAATAGATAAGACTCTATTTATAATGATTTGTCATATGGCAAATATGGAAAATTTTCTAGATTGGGAGTTGGACGTTAAGAATTTATGTCTAGATTAGAAACTTTACGCAAGAACGATGTTCAAAGGAATGTACTTTGAATATGAGACTTCACATCTATGGAATTGTCTTGTAACAATCCCTAATAGAGCACTTTGTAATTTCATTGGTGAAGTCTTGGTGACTTTTGTGCAATGAGATTACAAAAGGATCATTGCATAAAATATTAGAATCTAACATATTCTAATAGTGGGAAGAATTTGGTATTCTTACACTAATGATAAGTAATAGGAGTTGTGAAATGAGTATCATTGGAAGTTTGATTAATTGATCTATTTCACAAAGTAAGGACCATAGGTAAACATATTGTTCATGCTTGGAGCATGGGACAACTGTTGTTATAATTCAAGTAATAAGTTGATTATTCAAAACATTATACAATGAATAATGAGTAATCAATATGGTGATTAAATAAAGGCGTATTATTTATACTCAAAAGTTTGGGGCCATATAAGATTAAGTATTATTCTTGTGTTTCACTTTCCATGTTTTGACTTCCCGAATAATAAGATTATTCAAACTCTCCACAGTCGCTTATGCTTTGGAAGTAGGTATGAAAGACGACTGTCATGAATCTGACTGTAGATTGTCTGAAGCGTTTTAAACATAGCAAAAGTATGATGTAGTGTTCATGAGTGCTCAATAAGATTTGAGTATTGGATTAAACCCACGCTCACTTGAATTACTTCATGAATTTTATCACGGGTGATTAGTGAGACGATAATATCTTATATTCTTGAAACCGAGACGTGTAAGTTGTGTTTTGCAAGTCGGTTGCACATTGATAATATGTAAATGCACCAGTAACTTGGTGTTATAAAACATATTGTTGTGTGTGATTTGATGAGTAGGTACAAGCGAACATTTGAGTCGAATTTTATCCTTTCCTTTTAACCAAAGTAGGATAAAAGTGATATATGTGGTCCCCTTGATGATTTAGTAATGACACCCTAAGAGTTTGGCCAAGTCGGGACTAAGTTGATGTGTTTAATTGTAGTCTAGAATGCAGGAATATATGATCCCTTATCTAAAGGACGCGTTATTGATAAGATCAGAGTTGATAGTGGCTTTTGAAAGCTACGATTGTTGATCAGGTTCTGAAGTCGTACTTGAAAAATAGTTATTAGACTTATCCAAGTGGGAGACTGTTGGATTAGGTGTCTAAGGCCATAACTATTTTGGTATGTACTTGACCCGATTATGAGAATGGTCCTTTTGGGTTTCCTTCACCATATCAACTGATAAGATGAATTAAGGAGTAAGAGGATTAATTATGATTTATTAATATATTATAAGAATAATCTATTAAAGGAGAAATTATATTATTTAATTAATATTAGTCAAAAATTAATTGTATGGCTAAAAGCGATCAATTAAATAAAGGGGAATGATATTGTAATTATAAGACAATTGCATAAATTTGCTACTGGACTCCATAGAAGTTAGAGTGGAGGAAATCTATGGGGAAACCTATAAGAATTCGTCCAAGGCTTCTAAGGAGGGAGCCTATGGGCTGCTTAGAGCTTAAGCAGGCAAATTAGGGTTTCCTTGTTTGATAACCCTAATAGCCTAACTATATAAGAAACCCCTAAGGCCCCAAAAACGTGGCTAAGGAATCCCTAAGGATTCTTGGACGTTTTTGTGCCTTCTCCTACTTCTCTTTGTTCATCTTGTTATTCATGGTGTTTGTGATTCCATTAGAGGTGCAACATTTGAGGCACTAATCTTTCAAGAGTCAAGATCAAGAAGATTTGAGATTGTTATTGCAACATAAAAATCAAGGTAAGACCTAAACCCTAATTCATATGTTAATTCGAATATTATATGTTAGATCTAGGGTTTATGAGCTTTGGATGATTATTGCATGTTCATTACACAAACTAGATCCAAAGCTTTAGGGTTTGCATGCACACCATAGGATTGATGTTTTTCTCAAAACCCAACCATAAACCTCAGTGGTAACAGTTAAGACTCTCAAGGGTTACATTCATGAGTGTGAAGGTAATGGAGAAGCAAGAAGGTGGTTCTAGGAAGTGAATGTACCTATGCTATGCGAAAGTGACCAAGCAGATAACTCTTAACATAAAATGAGAAGAGTGAGGTAGCTCATGACTAATGTAAATTTAACAGCCTGGTTGGGAGGAAATGATTTGTACGATCGGTTCATTAATAGAATCGTTTGAGGCTTTGGATAACATTCAGCAGCATGCTTTTAGGGACACTTAGCTAATAAAAAGGTAAAGAAATGTATACCTGCCCCTTCTTACGAACTGAGAATGACTACGAATGTGTGCCTTTTGCGAGCTTCTCAATGATCTAATATTTTTGGAATTTTATAATTTTGAGAAACAAAATAAAATAAAATAAAAATCAAAGAAAAATATTTTTGTATTTTTTTTTCTGAAAAAGAATAAAAAGGAAA